TCACGTGAGCCCTGGTTTACGTATAATTCCATGCTTTCTGGGGCTCATGAGCGAGGTGGGGTGTGCTCTTGCGATGGGGGAGCGACGAATCGTGAGCCAGTCATCGTTTGCAACAATGAGCGCGCTAAATGGCCCGGTCCGGACTCTGCAGCCGCCGAAGGGATGTTGGATGCTGGGGTGCGTGCCTTGTTCTGTGGCAGGTGGCTGTGTTTGTGTTACGGCTAACGCCGTCGCAGGGGTTGGTGTTGGTGTCCGCGGTTGATGGTGAGTATTCAGTATTCGGTCTTTCGTGTGTGGTGTTTGCACTGCCGCTTAAAGCTTCGCCGCTATCACGCCCGCCACTGCCAGATTTTCGGCGGAAATTCTGGCGCACTCTCTCTCTCTGTCTATGTCTCTCCCTCTCTCCGTCAATCAATTAAACTTTACACCAGTGGATAATTTGACTGCACTCCGCAGCTTGGGCTTTTTCAGTGGCAAAAGACTTAAAATTAACACAAAAAAAATTCGTAATATAAAAACAAAATACACCTATGAATATACATACTGAAGAGAAGTCAATGGTATGACCAATATGTTTTTCAATTTTTGTATCTACAAATATTTTGAGATTTTTCGTAAAGCGCTGCTTTACTATCGAGAATCTCGGCTGCGGATAGTTCGGCCTGGGAAAAGAAGTCAGGCCTGTCTGAGCTTTTGAATGTTGCAAAATTTCTCGTGTCGAAGAATTAGTTGGGAGGAAAATCATGAATATTTTTCTCTGAAATTTTTAGTTATTTTAGATTGAATTACGAAGAAAATTTTCTGATAAATAATTATAACTTTCTCAATAAATTTGTAGTTTATCAAAGAAAATTTGGCAACGCCTGATGGTTCATACGGCGTTTTTACTCATGCATGGCAGAGGACGCCACCGGTTTTGCTCTTACTGTTTGGAGCACATCAGGCGAACTTAGCGAACTTGCTTCACATCAGGACTGTTTGCCTACGTTCTTCTGATGTGTTCCAATGAAAATAAAATCGATGGCGTTTTTCCGACGGATCTAATTTCATTCCCCACAGCGAACTCTTCTCAACCGAGATTCACGGAAGTATATCTTTACCTCTCACTTTACCAAGAAAATCTCAATGGATACAAAAACTGAAAAAATGGGTCAAATAATAAATAAATATGCAGCTTTTGATACGAAGATTTACTCTCGACTTCATCATGAGCTGAAAGTTCTGTCGTCGATACATATCAAACCATTCGATTCGTTAGATTAATTTTCAGTTCAAAGGACTTAACGAAAGTTTCGTGAGGTCAATATATCTGACTGAACCGAGCTGATAGTGGAAATTCAATCACACAAATCAAACTTTCGCTCCGAAGAGAAGAAATTTCACTGTGACAAGTCGTATAGTCGATAGGTATGGAACATCGGACGTTTGCGCTGTATTTTTATAAGGAAAACGCATGAGGGATTTGGTCTCAATCCGTCTCAATTTTTCTATCCTTTAAATCACGGTTTTTTATGTTAAATCCTTCACTGAAAAGAATAAGCAAAAAATTCTGGCGGACACTGTACATTTCAAAAATTATGATACGGACCACGTAACTTGCGCGTTAAAGAATGAATTTGAGATATATCTGATGCGCTCAACAAGATTTTCATACGATTTCACGTGCAGAAGCGACGATCCTCAGTTGACTGTAATGTGTGACAGGGACATTATTTCCGCACATTGAACGAAACTGGGATACCACGAATGCATCTATTCTCACTAAATAGTAAATTCTCAAGTTCTTCACTCCATTAATATTCCTTTTGGAATATATCTAATCATCAAAATAGATGCGACGGTAGGCAACAAGAAAGACGATTATGCATGCTTCATACATGCTTCTAATGCTCTTGATTGGTTTCCACAATAAAAGCGCAATTTCATGCTACGTAGAGAGAAATGCAAAATGGATTCAAGACATACCTCCGCGAGGTAGGTTAGAAATTTAAAGTCATTAGCGAATTATCAAGCTTTAATAATAGAAACGAACGTGAGGTTAAAATTATTTTGAGTAGCTTGTAATTTGCCAAGTTTGTCCCAATTATTTCCGTGTATGATGCATGGGTTGATAATTTAATTTTCGTTGGCTTCCAGAGTATAGATCACGTTTACATGCAGACACTCATGCTCTAAAACTATCTCTGAAAGTCCAAGTTTGTGAATTTAATTGAAAAATTGACTACATTTCGCTCCCGGTTCCTCCTTGTCTTCGATTCTTGAGAAAACTTCCCAATTTATTAGCTCCTTGTATAATTGTATTCTCTGTTTTAGAAGTCAAAACTCGGTAAAGGTGCCAAAGGAAATGATGAAAGTTCAGAGAATTTTGTTGATAGCCGCCCTGCCCCTAAGTGCACTGGAAAAACATGCCCAAAGTGCAATCATTATGAACCGAACGTTTGATGTTTTATATCGCGATAGGGATATTCGGTTTTTCAAAACCAAAATTTCTGCTTGTATAACCGAACGTTTCATTTCAGTACCTGAAATTTCGTTTTTCAGTTTGGTCAGATCGACAAAATCGATCTCATGGACAGAGAAATTGATTTGACTGATTGAAAGTTTGGTTCGACAAACCGAATATAGATATGTTCATGTGACCGTGAAAATGCGTTATCGCATGGTGTTAAAATCTACCGCAGAATGTAAATTCACCTTTTAGGGCCGTGCGTAAAATACATGACGCTAAATTTTGGATTTTTTAAACCTCGTCCCCTCGTAACGCCTATGTAACGTCTAAGATCCTTATCTTTTAACATGTAAAAAAAATGGCGTAACCAGTGGCGTGGCGTGAATTGCGATGTATCGATCGTTATGCCATTTAAACCTATGGTAAAGAATCGATTATTAAGGCGTTCGCTGCGAACACTCTGTTTGTCGATCCTTCTCCACAGGTTTAAATGACATAACAATCGATATATCGCAATTCACGCCACGCCACTGGGCGTAACGCTCTCCTCGACCGACCCTTCCCCCGAGAGCGTTAACACGGATTTTATGAATGACCCTTACAATTTACGATGATCGTAATATTTAAAAAAAAAATGTGAAAAAAAAAAAACATTCTCAATACTTACACCCTAGTTGTAATGATCGCGATAAGTTGCGATTCGATATAAGAATGTAACACGATTTTATCGACATAAATTCATTGCAATATTATCGGATAAAAAATTGCAAGAAATTGCGGTTTCATCGAATGAATTTGCAATAAAATCGCGATTTTATCGATGACAATTAATCGCAGTATTATCGAACAAAAAAAATCTCGATACATTGTGATAAAATTTCGATTTTATCAAACGCGATTTTATGGGGATAAAATTTTTTCAAGATCGAGGATAATTGCTCAGATGTTGATGACCCTAGCGATTTTATCGGCAAAAAATTGGAAATAAATGCAATGATTTAATTTCAAAATATCGCGATTTTTCCGTCGAAAAATCATAGGCGGTTCTAGCAATTTGGCAACTTGCTCTATTTAAACCAACGTTAAATAATTGATTATTGTCGGAGCAACTGGCCCCTCTGAGAATCGATACATTTTCATAGGTTTAAATGGAGAGGAAACAATTTAACCAATTTGCTGGATCATCCGCCAATGCGAACAATGCTGCTTGGGATACTTTCTCGTATCCTCGCGGACAGTATAATAGTGGCGCGATCTGAGGTAGATTCTTCTCGCAGAAAAATTACGCGTAAGTTATAGTCTGTATTGGGATCGCCCAATGAGAAATGAGGCACGAAGGATGAGGGCCGGGAGTGGGTGATTAGAAAGGAATGGCGGTGATGGAGAGAAAAACGCAATGGCCTCTCGCCGGCCGCGGGACACCGACACCCAATCAGGAGGGCAGCGTGGCGGAGAGCAGGTCCTTTCTACGAAGCCTCCTAATACCTACTCAAGGAGTTTTTGACAACCACTCGTATTGTAGCATTCGTCCGTATTAAGATTTACCTATAAATTTATTCTCATGTATCAGGATGTATCGATAGTTTTGACCTCTTCAATAGTGATTGGTTTTAAAATCTTGGACCTCCCACACTATAACCGCGCGACCAATGAGAACACAATGCTCGGTCAAACTGAGGCGGCCTACGTCAATGGACCATTATACAGGGTACGAATTTAAGTATTCTGATGTACAATATATTCAACCAAAATTTCACGCGGAACACAACACGTGCAACGAAAATTACTGAAACTAACTCCTTACTAAGATGTTAAATATCTCCTGACGCGTAAATTTAAACCTCGCGCTCATGGAAAAATAAATGTATACGTGAACCAAATCGCGCGCTAAACGTTACCGCGATAGTCTCTGCGATATTATAATATTGCAATCTCAATTTCGCTGCTTTGGCTCAGCTGTTTAACGTTGTTAACACTTTGAACAACACAAAGCTGGGAGGGAACATTGCTCAATTGAAAAGCCTGCCGAAACCACCGTAGTGCTTTGAAAAAAAAAACAAAACAAAACAAAAAACAAAAAAAAACAATTCCACTAAATAGTATCACTGTGTAAAAGATAAGTAGACTTTAGGTAGATGTTGCCATACTTTTTTTCAGTGTGAACGATTTGATTCAACTGGACTAAGGTATTTCTTAAGAGGATGGAATTCAAATTTCTCGTAATCAATGTATACTGAAAATGCTAAGTATCTTAGTTAGGAATTGATTTCAGAGATTTTCGTTGTGCGAATCGTGTTTTACGTAGAATTTTGATCAAGGAAAATGTATCGAAATGCTTGAATCCGTACTTATTGTCTGCTGGTCCATTTGACAGGGATGCGCTCTGATTGGTAAAACAGCCAATGACGGCAGCGACCTTCTTGGATTGAAGAACTGACAATAAATTTGATCATGTGACCCAAGCTAATAATTTAAAAGTTAGACTGTGTGTTAGCAGATCCAGTATGATGTACAGTACAGTATATTAAAAAATTTTATTGATTTGTTACAGGTTTGGTTTCAAAATAGGAGAGCAAAATTTCGGAAGCAGGAGCGGTTAGCGCAACAAAAGACCAGCTCAACGACCAACTCAACAAATGACTCGAAAAGCATAAAAGCTGAGTCGAATCCGTGCAATGTGAAAGACGCGAAACCTGCCACACCTTCAACCCCTAACTCCACCCACTCATCAAATAATGGCGACGTCAAACCTATCAACGGAACATGTAAGTCATGAAATCTTAAACGAAAATTCAGTGAAGTAGTTTCTTAGTCCTGCAATGGTTGAAACTTTATGCTGCATTTCTTCAAATGACATCATAAAAATCCGTCGTATGAAAAACTTTAAACTCTTCGCCTCTTTAAAAATCTCTGTCTTCGTCTCTACTCCGATTAAACTTAATTTACATTGCAAATAGAATGATGATTTCATCTCGTGCGATGAATCTTGTGTTAAAAAAAAAGAGTCGAAGAGCTAAGTTATTTTATCAGTAATCTGCGAGATTAAGAAACCTCTGCAACATTTTTATCGAATTTTGCATGAAAAAGCTTTGCTCTGAACTTTTAATGGAGAATATAGTAGGTATGTGGCTCAGTTATGTTACGTTTATTTTGCATTATTATGAATCTTCAATGTTACGCAGATTTATTTGTAAATCTTGAATTAATAAATTCTACCAGAAATTTTAAGCTATCTAGTCTATTCAGAGGAGTCGCGATCGAAATTAATACAAACAAAAGCTATCGAATAACTCACTAGACGATACACGATACGGCAATTAAATGAATGAAGTTCAGAAATTAGTTAGAAACTGATTTTTAGCTTAACAATACTGGCTGATGTGTTCAAGGTTTTTAATTCCTTATCTTTGGTTTGTACCACCAAACTTTTTTTCAGTGTATCCTGGAACACGTAAAAACAACACTGGAAAAAAAACACATTGGATCTAGAGTCCAGACTATTGAAAACATGCAGATTTAAGCTTAAATCAAAAGGAAATTCGCTCAAATTAGGAGCTTTGGTTCTTGATTTAAGCTAAAATCTGATTGAATCAAGAGTATTTTTTCTCGTCGATATTTTGAAGAGTCTGGACTTTAGATCCAATGTGTTTTTTTTTTTTTTTCCAGTGAAAATGGCGTAACGCTTTTTTCGACCTTCTCCCCGTAGAACCTTACGTAATTTAGGGGACGGCCCCTCAGGCATGGAAATAAAGATAGCGGCTACGGTCGCAACATGACAACTGCTGTTGAAGCGGAAGGTAATGCATTAGCCGAATTATCCGATCGGCCACGCTATTAATTACCGACCGCAGGGCGGACCCGAGGTTGCTCCTAAAAACATCCGCAGCTCGGGGGCCGAATCCCTCCGATCGGCAGGGATTCCGGCGAAGGGATCGGGATCCCTGAAATATGGTCGGATCCTCGGCGGCCGTCCCTCGGTTCGAGCTTTTAAAGAGAGGATAAACACTCGGCGCGAGGGGCGGGGGGCGGGGCGGCACGGGAGGGACGCCCATGTAAGGGCGGAGGGACCCGGACCGGTATCACATGTGTGTCCCAGAAACATAGAGTGCATAGCTGACACTAATGGATATAAACGAGCATCCCCTGGCAATTTTCTAGATTAAACGTCAAGTGCGCGACGAGGCTAAGGTTTCCCAACATGCGCACTCCGAGACCCCCTCCGACCCCCC